TCCTCATGAGGCTGAGTGCACCCCGTTCCAAACCCACCACATATCAGAAAATCTGGTAGCGCCGGGAATCGAACCCGGGACCTCTGGATCTGTAAGCGAAAAATTTGTGAACAAAAGCTGTAGACAGATATTAAGCACACGCTCAATATTCAACGAACTTCTTCCACAAGTCTTGGAATTTTCATAGTAACTGAAGAAATCATACATTATGTGTACATTCAACAATCACCATGGTCTCCCAATCACATCCAATGCTAGGATTATCTCTCTTTTTTCAATTATTGATTCACCCCTTCCCCTTCATGAACATGGATAATCAGAACTATACTGTATGTATATCTGCATGTACAGGAAGGTCACCTAAGACCCTACTGCCAAAACTCCTTTGGCTGATTGGGTGAAAGGGACACACACTACTCACACCACCTCACACTCCTGGCATAATCAAGAGACCAATACCCATTACAATTTCTCTCCAACCTCACCCCATTAAGTCTTCAAATAGCTACCATGAAGTGATTACAAACCCAAGTCCCAATTAATATATATTCAGCGTTACGTGTTGTGTTGAAATGACACATGAGAGTTACATGCAAGAACAAAGAGTTCATGTATGATACCCATGTGAAAAGTAAGGATTCAAGCTCAGATTTCAAGAAGTTACGATTCCACTTCATATAACCTACATAAATTTTTACAGGGTGATTACGGGACAAAAAGAAAATCAAAATGCTGAGTGCTCACTGGGCAGAAACTGCATCAAAATTTCCTTAAATATTCCCCTCAAAAGACCGCCTCTGTGGGCTAGTGGTCAGAGTTCCTGCCTACAGATCCAGAGGTCCCGGATTCAATTCTTGGCGCTACCAGATTTTCTGAGTTGTAGTGGGTCTGGAACGGGGTCCATTCAGCCTCATGAGGATAATTGAGAAGCTATTTCAAGGAAATAGCGGCTCTGGTCTAGAAAACTGAGATTAACAGCCATGGGGATCCCTTGCGCTGACCACGTGACACCGTCTATCCGCAAAAGTTTGCACTAACTTCGCCGACAAGCGACAGTCACTCAGTTGGTATAGTTTGCTTGAGGACAACAGGCTACGAAATTTTATTCCCCTTAAAATTCCTTCAGATGACTTGATGAAGAGAGAAAGATTTCAAATTTGAAGTTTAAAGTTTGTTCTACGAGGGTTGGAACTTTAATAGTGGCAACACTGCTGTAGAGATGCAATGCAACAGAACCAAGTAATGTCGCTCATACCACACATTAGTTACATACCTACCTTACCTCAGAGCAAATGGACTCTCCATTCCCACGTCATGCGCATGCACAGAGACAAGAAGAACAGAGCCTCGTGTTAGCTGGCGGTCTAATGTAGTGTTGTCAAGATGTTTTCAAAAGAGGAACAACGAAGTTGGATAAAGATTGAATGTGCCAGAGGCCGTACAGCACGACGGTGTCATCAAGGTCTTCAAGAGGCTTGCGGGGAATATGCATTGCCTTACAGAACAGTGGCAAGGTGAGTAAAAGCCTTCATCGAGGGACGTCAAAATGTGGCAGACATGCGTCGGCCAAGTCGTCCTAGTGTCAGTGAAGAAGAAGTGTATACTCTTTCCGTGTTACTGGAGAGTGATCAATGCCATATGATACATGAGCTGGCCCAAGAGACAGGATTAGCGCATACGACTGTGCTTCACATTCTGAAGGAACGCCAGGGCATGAGAAAAATTGCATCACGATGGGTTCCGCATGATTTGAGAGAAATGCAGAAATGGCTACGATACGACGCTGCTCGTAACCATTTGGAGCGCTATGAGCGCGAAGGAGAGGCTCTCTTACGCCGTTATCATTATGCTGGATGAGACATGGGCCAACTCGTGCGAGCCACAAATGAAACGCCAATCGAACAAATGGCATCATTACGGGTCACCACGAAAATCAAAAGTTCGTCAGAACCCCAGCAATGTGAAAGTTATGGTGATTCTCGTGTACGACTGTGATGGTGTTAGCCTAATGCATACTGTTCCCCGACAGACCATCAGTGCACAGTATTACTGTTCATTCTTGGAACACAACCTGCAACCAGCTTTGAGAAAGAAGCGGTGACACTTTCTGCAGAACCCACCCATCATTTTATAGGACAATGCTCGGCCACATGCAGCACAAGCTGTGGCTCTTGGTCATTTAGCATGTGCCTCAGTCACTGTACCAACTGAACTATGCCACAACAGCACTCTTCATATTATTTTCTTATGAAAGATAGCATTCAAGACGTGAAGCTGCAGTAATATGCAATTTTGCAGAAAATGTCTAATTTTTGCTACTGAATAAGAGGTAGTCCCAACATAAACAACTACACACCCATTTACTGTACAACATAAGCATTGAAATGGATTTTGACACATAAGTTTTTTACTTAATTCTGAGTGACTTAGACCTAACATTGTTGCTGTACATTTATTTTAAATAGTCTTATTTCATTCCTGATTTTGAAGACAAGTCAAAAGTTACAAAAAAATGCAGTGTTATTCAGACACATCTGCTGCCCAATATAGGCAGCAGGAAATACTTTAGCAGTCTTGACCACCACAAACAGAGCTTTGAACTACAAGCTGAACTATAATAAGTTCTTGCAACCATGGAGAAATAGGCACCTATGTCAGAATTTCTAAAAATTTAACACAACAGTGTCTGTTTTGGATTATAAACCAACAATTTCAGCAAGAAATGAAACCCATGACAATTCTGTATAGTACAGCTCTATGTAATTACAAAAAATGTTCTTACCATAATATGAAAACCAAAGAACAAGCAATTTAATTGGAAACAATACAATGCACATATGACAATGAGATAAGCATTACAGAGACCACTGGCTCTCCTTTGACTAGTTTTTCTTAATTATATCCATAGCATTTTAAGTGGCAACTTTCAACCTGTTAACGATATGATCACATAGGTAACAGTATCTCAGAGAGGTGGATGAATGTGTCACATAGTAACCACAAGACAGAAGCTGTGTAGGATGCACGGGTTTAATAATAATGACTGGTAGTCGTTCATTCAAAACTTGCAACACACTTATCGCTGACACAGTCAAAAAGAAAAGAGAAAAATTATTAATAGTTTCAGAAAAGCACAACTAAAAGATTCAACAGTAAATCAACAGTAAAAATTTTTAGCTGGAATATAAATAATGTGTGATTGCCCACTGCAATGTCTAATAACAATGTTAAGTTATAATACTTCAAGTTAGTGGTTTCTTTTTAAAAATACATTAATGTTTGCGGCCACATGGTCATATACTGTACAGAATCAATACCTTAGTCTGTATTTACTTACTCGTGGATCACTTAATTAAAATTGTCAAATGGCAGGATGAACAGTAAATAGTGAATCAGGGAGGATGCAGAGTGTGGCCATGACCTAAATTAAGTACTATCCTGCCATTTGCATGGAGCGACTGAGGAAAATTATGAAAAAATCTCAGTCAGGATAGTTCGTGTTACCATGCAAGTCAATTTTTTCAGCCATTTTATTCTACATGTTTACTGGATTTAAAACGTTCAACTGTAAAACATCTATGCAAGTAAATCATGTTTATAATTCATCCCCATGCAAAATACTAACCAGTAACTGACTGTCAGGTATAACACATACAATATTTCAGGTCTACCTCAACAAGTTAGTTTTTGTCTTTTATCACATACTGAAGAACTATAATGTAACACTGCAGTGGTACATGGAATGATTTTGTCTGGAATCTTCATTTTTACAATGTATTGGAAAGCTAATTGCAACAATGCAACAAAGCCTGAAATTCTCTTATCTGGACATGGAAAGGATCATGAACAAAGTAATGTTACAGCAATTTCCTTTCAACCAAAGTCACAAACTAAAAAGGAGACTACACATATGTTTTACTTTACTGCTCTTCTTGGCAAATATCCTACAACTCTTCTCTTTACGCAAGCAAATCTCCACTTGATTACTTAGGAAATCCAAATATGACTGATCTGAAATCGAATCTAAAACTAATGTATAATACGGTGTACAAATTATTGCAAAGTCTCACTCAATAAAACAATGTTCAATTTGACTTGTTAAGCTAGAATATATCAACAGTAATAAGATAGGAAATCAAATTAGAAATTGTTGGGTTTTATGCAATATGATTGACAGTCTACTTCAACATAAATCACACATCAAGGATTTAAGGTTCTCACAGCAGTGGTTATGAACAGTTCTACCTTCTGGGATGTATGGCCATGTAGCAGTCTATTGAAAGTCAACTCATATTTCGAAAGAACATGTCGCCTCCATCTTCAGGGTCGAAGAATAAGCTTGCCACCTACATCATGCTCATCTCTTGCTTGGCTTATTCTTCGATCCTGAAGATTCAGGCAACATGATCCTCAGAAATATCAGTTGACTTTCAACAGACTACACAGCATTATATCCCTGATGAAAGAACTCTTCATAAATCACATACTCGTACTACATTACTATTCATAATAATATGCTGCTTAGGGCTGTCATGAATTATATAAAGCATCAATTGCTGTGAAGTACGGACGTCTGTTTTCCGAAACAAGTATCATACGTATACATTTCGGCATCATCAGTTTAATCGGCCCATGAACCCTTTCCGAAAATCCTTTTATTTGCCAAAAAAAAAAGGCGTTCCGTGTAAATTCTGATAACATGTCTATTAACATAATGACGAAAAACTCTTAAATGTCTCAAACTAAGGCTACAACCTATACTATTTATCAGCTCGCAACTAGTTTAACGGTTATATCGTGGCTTCGTCTACAAACCAGAATGCATAATGTTAACTAGTTCGTTGTATAAGGCACTCAGCATCACCCTTCCCTGTTACGATCCATGCACAAAATCAAATTACCCCTAGCTTATTTCACCATCAACTCTTGGACAAAGCTGTATGTGCTATGAATGAACGCTCAGAATGTGTTTATTACACATGAAGAAGGTTTCTACTTACTTTCAAATGCTTGCAGAAATAATTCGTGATCCGCCTGAATCTGATCCATTCTTGTGTTTTTTGATGTTTCAGGTTCCTTTTCACGTTTCTTTGGTGGCATTTTCCTTTCAAAAATTTCACTCTACCCCCAAAAAAAAAAATTACCCAAACCCGCGAACCCCACTAAGCACTTAACCACCGGTCACTCACCACGGACAGGTTGACCACCTTAAAATATATTAGATACACGCAGTTCTGCGTTGTATACATTCATATTGAAGAGTGAGAGGTTGTGATTTTATTGGCTGCAATGGCTCCTAGAGCGCGAACTAGTAGCCATAGTAGGTATTAATTTCTAATGCCGGGAAAAATGAAGGAAAACTAATCAAAGCACCGAGACACGCCGAATGTTGCATAAAAATGTTCAGTCCGTCCTATAATTATCATCACACATATTTTCGTTTAATGCCAAACAAATGACGTTTGGATATCTCAACCTAATTTCCCTTAAGAATATAAGCAAAAAACATACTAGATTCAATCCAAGAATCTCAGAAATCAAGACGTGGATCTAGGTTGAGAAAATGTCTGAAAATGCAGTATATTTACAAAACACACCCAAAGAACAAAATACACTACAATAGTTTTATATGTAATTATTTTATGAATTGTTCCTTATGGTATACTCAGAAACTTTTAAATCATACTACACTTAAAATATATTTATTGGTAAATGAATATAATGTGGTGCGTAGACCCATCGCTAGACAATGACTCGGTAAATATATTCTTGCGGTAGCCAAAGCGGACAATAATAGGACGTCCATTGCTAGGCAACAGAGCAGTAAACACACCTCCTTAACATGAGAGGCTGTGCTTTTGCATGGTCTGTTAAAGCAGTTACAAAGAAGTGTTCAGCATATAGCAAAGAGAACAGAGTTGATTTTGAACTGATTTGGCAGTTGCAGATTAATGGCATGAAGGGAACTAGATTGTTCAAAGAATAATTCATGTAATTTGACGTGACAATGAGATAGTTATAAATGTGTTGCCAGTATACAACTAGTGAAGACTGAGAATCCTTGTCCATTTGTCATGGTGAACTGTAAAGTGTGTAAATCAGTGATAGCGTTGTACTACCTGTAGTTCTGAGTACTGTGCATAAGGTGTCAACAAATCCAATCATCCAATCCAAAACCTATCTTATACAAGTAAGTCACTCACAAACCCACTACACATGAAAATATCTTACCACATAAATTTAATGCTTGTAAATTCTGTTCCATATCCACAGAAGTCTCGCACAATTACAGGCTGTTTATAATTTCGTGGTAATATTAACTCTCCAACAGACTAGGCATTACTCAAACTAGATTCTTTCAGTGGAAATTAGTTCATTTCTTATTAGTGGATAAATTTTAACTTGAGGGGTTCTCATAATTGTCTCTCAGGATGGCTGACTTCCTTGCTCTCTTGGAAGTCTAGGCAAAATATTTCTTAAAATTCCATTCCCTTTGATAATCTGCATTGCCTGGTGAATAAAACTGTTTGTTTCAAGCAGAGAGCCTGTCATGCTAAAAATAACCAGCAATTGACATAAGTAAAATGGACTACCATTAAAAGACAAATACCTTTCATCAAAGCAGTTGATGCTGGTTAGAAATAAAAATACAGACATCTGCAACAAATAGGTACTATAGGATTCTGACGAAGGTGTATAACACTTAGTGATATTGGGTTTTCGGTCCAGTGACTGAGGCTAGCTCTTTCTAAGGGACCCAACAGAATAGGTGTTTTCCCTCACCTGAGGATGGAAACAGATCCAGTTTCCAAAACGTCGTGTTTTTCTTAGTTATCTTAAAACCAGGATGATGGATATAGTCCGAAAACCCAATATCTCTAAATCTGAACAAAGTTTGTGTTAAAAATGAAATTCGTCAATAATAAAAAACTGCAAACAAATATCACAATTTTTGTGAAAGTAAATTTTAGCAAGAAATATGACCTCTGCATATGACAAGCACACACATTTAAATGTTTCACTGCAATTGGTATGGAAATACTAAAAATTTACATTTACAACTATAACAAATTCAGCGATAAATAAATGTCATCTTATGTAATCATTTTGCTATTTCTTAAACATCAGTCGAATAATATTTTCCCACAAGTGTCACTTGAAACCCTCATGATGACAAAACTACATAGGTAAGTCAATAAGTAAGTTACAAATGGATATAGAACTTAAACAAATAAGAGTACTGATTTGAAAAATGCTTTTATTTCTCAACATAATCTCCCTGTACATTGAGGCACTTGTGCCATCATTTCACAAGCACCTGAAAACCAGCAGCATAAAATTCTTTGGGCTGCTTTCGGAACCAGGCAGTGACTGGGATCATGAAGGCATACTGCTCACCACATTCCAGCCTCAAGGACAAACCATATATGCTGACTCCTACTGTAACATCCTCAGGAAACTTCGTAAGGCCATTTAATGGAAGAGATCAGGACTCCTCACCAAAGGTGTGTTGCTCTTGCATGACAACGCGTGTCCCCATACTGCCAACAAGACAAATGAGATGCTGCGAAATTTCAAGTGGGAAGTCCTCGAGCATCCTCCGTATACCCCTGACCTTGCTCCAAGCGACTTCCATTTGTTCGGTCCTCTTGAACATCATCTTTCAGCTGAACATTTTCCCGACGATGAAGCTGTAGAAAGGGAAGTCACCACCTGGTTCCGACAGCAGCCCAAAGAATTTTATGCTGCTGGTTTTCAGGGGCTTGTGAAACGATGGCACAAGTGTCTCAATGTACAGGGAGATTATGTTGAGAAATAAAAGCATTTTTCAAATCAGTACTCTTATTTAAGTTCTATATCCATTTCTATCTTATTTATTGACTTACCCTCGTATAACACTAGCACCACAGAAGTTTCTATACTTTACCCTTTATGTGAATATTGCTTAATGGCGTACAATTTAAATTTGTGCTTTAAAATGCTTGCAACATTATATACAGCATGACAATAAAAGAATATTATTTATACCTTCAAGATTATACAGAAAGCTAATCTAAATGCACCCCTTTTCCCAGAAGTCTTTGGACTAGGTGTAAATGAAGGTTTGGCTGGGTAGTTGTACACTGGAATGTATGTTGAACAGATGTTCTGAAGTCTGTGTTGACTAACTGCTGTACACAGCATCTTCGGCTGCGGAGTAGCAATTTTTTTAAACCAGCGGAATCCAGAAAAGGCACTCCACAGCTATAACTGTTTGATTTAATATAAAAGTTGGAGATTCTCTGCTGACTACTCTAGGGGCGAAGTCACGGTTATGCAACATTAGTTTTCAATATAATAATAAAAATGTAAAATTCCTTTATGCTCGCACTGTATTACACAAATAAGGCAGAAAATTTTTTTTTACCAAACATTCGGATGTTGTAGTTAGCACTTCTGTTCCATTCTCGAAGGTCCTGGGTTCGAACTCTGAGATAGAAAATGCATAAAAATTTAATCAGAAAAACTGAAAGGAAGAGATCACTTGGGAGACTCAGGTGTAGATGGGGGCTTAAAAATATAAAAAATACCTATCAAGAAGGTATTATGGTAAACTGGTATAAAACTAGGATATTAGAAGTTGAAAGTAACAGCAGGTATAGGAAATTTGAAGAATCTGCTCATATTGCATATTTAACCAATTTGATCAGGTGGTCCAGTTTGGATATTTCTCCCATATGGATCCCCTTTACCAGCAATGAGGTTAACAAATCACAGGGCTCAAATCAAAAGAACAATCAAAGACTCTGCTTTTGTAACATAAACCTCCTGCCTTCAGGAATTGTACCTATGAAATTTTAACACTTTTTAGTTAAAAGGCACAAATAATGACAATAATGACAGAGGGCCTTGAGATAAACTGCCTGATCAACTGGCTTTGGACAAGAAACAGAAAGACTGGCAACAGGGTTGCTGACTAGCACCTACATGCCCTCTCAGATAACTGTATGAAGAAAATGTGTTTGGAGATGGAATTTTCCTAACACATGCTCAATGCTGAGCTCTGGCCAGGCATACAATGAATATCTTTGGCTCTGCATGGTTGAAGCCAATACATACTAGTAGTGCCTCAGTCAAAAAGGTTCTGGCTCTAGCATTAAGGATGAAGGACACTCTTGAATTTGGACGGTGCGCAATGGACTTGATAGAAGTTGGAATGCCTTATGTTACTAGAGTCTGTTCCTCCCATGTCAATACTCAGTACTCACCTTCTGTCACTGTTATCTCTTAAACTTAACCAATGGACCTATATTACCATTCCTCATTTTTTTAAATGGCAATAAGTAAACAGAAATTTATTATTAATCACATTTATTTTATTCTACTTTATCATTATGTTATACTGAACTGAACACATATTTTATTTTAAACTTATTCGATATTAGGTTCATTATTTGTCAAATGAAAACAAGTCATAAATAGTATTTCTCGGTGTGGAGGTCAATAATGTTTCTGCTTGGCTAAGATATACAGCATGACGTTTTGGCAAGTTAATGTCCACAACTAATATCCAGTCTATTCCTTCCCTTCATTTTAATGTTTACCACTGTAGGAAAGCTTTCCTCACAGCAAAACATAATGACAAAAGGGATTAGAAGCTTCAGATTTCTGTCTTTGAGAACTGAGAATTCTAAACCATCTTGCACCAGAGAGTTGCCATATCAGAATTCTGAGAATATTCTTTTCATGTGCCTTTCTTGCAGACCAAGTAATTATACTTCAACCTTGACATCCTTGTCTTTAATTATTATTTCTTCCATTACGAACGCTCTCAAAATCCATGCATTCATGTGATGCTGTTATATGTGTGGACAGTATCCACTGATGGCTTCTGTAACTGACAGTAAGTATCTCAGGATATTATAAGCAAATGAATATTTGTGTTTGGTTGACTCAAGCAAATTTGTCAATTCTAACCAAACAGATACTTCACCAGTTTCAACCCTATGACAGTAAAGCTGGAACTTAGGAAGCTAGCAACCTTGTTTTGAGCTAGAATAACATTTACCATGCTCCTTTGTACTGTCTAACAGAATAGAGTTGTCAGTGGGTACAAGCCTTCATTCATTTGCTCTTCATGTGGTGTACAACTTTCCCCACTCTACCCAACAAATGACATCTCTATTCTGACAGTACCAAGAGGTTCAGCTGATTCATTTCAGGAAATCTACAAATCTACATGGTGTCCTAATTTTATAATGAATGTATAATATATTATTTTCGTGAATATTTCTTCTTAAAAAAATAAATATTTCTTCTCTTAGTTGAATACCTGACTTAACATTTTTTCATGAGATAACCAGTGAAATTTCTATATGTAACAGAAATGCAAAAATTCAGCTAAAACCTTTTCACATATTACTTAAAACACTCTCTACTTTGTGACACTGCCTCAAATATGATTTAACTACTACATACAACATTTAGGTAAGATTTGCTGAAAGTGTCTTCAAAGCCAAAGCATACCAACAAAGGACATAGTGGACTTTAGTTCACTGAATTTCCTCCTCTGTAGCAAATACTTTGCCTGCTAGGAATTCATTGAAGATTTTCATGTAAGTTGTCAATAATAATAATAATAATAACAACAACAACAACAATAATAATAGTAGATAACTATTTTACAAATACTTCCTTATATGACCGTTTCTTTGCTGTAAGAAGCTGAGACTGAAACTTAAAACTTTAAAAATAAATTTGAAAGAAAATATTACTTCTTATGATTAAAAGTAAAAAGTAAAGCAAAGGTATCGCTGTAACAGGCCATGGAGGCCCATAGGGTTGTGAGATGTTGAGATTCCCACATTTCTAGAAAATCGGCTCATAGATGGCGGTAAGGTTGTCAGCCTTACGCACCGGCCGCCCTTTACCCCAAAGAACATTCTAAGAATATTCTTGGTACTCATTTCTGTTAGAGGCTGAGTTGACCCCAGGGTCATACTGCAGCTTGAAGGATTAGGTAAACTGAAAAAAATCCAATGACCTCATTGGGATTTGACCCCATGACTTTCCGGCTAGTAGCACAGTGCCTCAACCAACTACGCTACCACAATAAATAAATATGGTCATTTACTACATTGTAAATGATATCATGAAAAATATAAATGGGACAGGATGCATACGAGTACTATGGAAAGTATTTCATGTTGTAAAGATGTATTATAAATCACTAATTAGATGATCATATTTAATTTAATATAGAATTATAAATTAGAGAATGTTAGTATTATTCATAATTTTAGATTCAAAAGGTAATAACATCATTAACGTGTATTATCATGGTCTTAGTTATTAAGAAAAAAAGGAAATGCTCTTCTTTTTTGCACTGTAAAAGAGAAATCTCAGAACAGTAGTTAATCCTGAATTCAATTAAATACTCACATTAAGAAAGACTGTATACCTCAAGTAACGACAATACTGAATGTAATTATGAACTATTATATTTCACGACCAAGGCTGTAATGAAATAGATCTCTTATTGGGTTTGCTAGTGATTTTATAGGACCTCATCAGTCAGATCAATTGTGCTGCAATTCCCACTGTTACTGCATGACTCATACATCAGCTTGGAAGGAACAGTAACAAAATATTAATGCAGTAAAATTAAACAATTTCATCTTGTTAGCTGTTACATCATTCTAATTTAATTTAATCATCATTGGTTCATCCTTTTTATAAAGGTGTATTGAAACTCTTGCAGATATTAAAAAACAACCCTTCCATTACTTCAGAGATGTACCCAAAACATATTCTTCCCTTTCATTGGTAATCCAGAATCTTACTGACAAGAAGTGCCTAATAATAAGCTTAGTGATTAACTGCTTACCTAGTCACTTAGGTTAATTCTTGTTAAACTGCAGCAAGAGGGTGAAGTAAGTATATGAAACATTCACAACCTGTAAATGGTAAGAATTATACATATGTACAGAATTTCTCTATCGGTATTTCATTTTGTCATGCAGTGTCATTAAGAGTTCTCTGACAAAAATGGTAAATATTCTGAAACTACGTCCATGATATGTATGTACTGACCATCTTCTAGTGCACTCAATCTCACATGTCACTTCACTACATGTTTCGGCATCACTGTGCCATCCTCAGGTGTGTTATTTACGTTAAACTATTGCACTGCTAGCCATCATGTGTCGTTTATAAAATTATTTAAAATTTATATTCCTCATTTACTATAATAAAATTTATATATATTAAAATTTGTTAAGATTTATCATCTTATACGTCTTAATTCAAACTCGCATATTATATCATTCTTCCACTATGGCAGTCGTTCTTCCTATATTTTGTGTATACTGTGTCTTGTGATGTATCCTTCTTTTTTTGCTGCATGTGTTGAAAATACAGTTACATTTCATGTATATTTGTTTTGGTAAATATTTTTGAGAATTTGCATTCCTCTTATTGCCAAACTGTGGTCATTGCTTCTTCTAGAGAAGAATGGGGGTGGGGTAAGATATAATGAGTAACAGGAATTGTAAATCATTCCTGTGAAGGTATCTGTGATGATATAAACAGAAAGAAATTTCTGGGAGTACATGTATAGATCCATATTTTCTTTACCTCCGTACTAGCTGGAGGTGAGTGATCAGCTTCAAGCCCCGGCCGCTTTACCCCCAGGGAAAGATCCCCTAGTACCTATTGGATAGGACGTTGAGTGGACCCCAGAGCCAGTCTGGATGACACGGCGAAGTAAAAATTCTTGACCCTACACAGACTGGAACTCCCAACCACCCGACGCCCAACCAGTAGCCAGTAACCATACTGACTGCATTATCCTGGCTCATAAAGTTGTTCATATTCTTAATTAAACACCACTCTATGTAGACATGATGGCGTAGAAGTACTCGAATAGTCTAATGCATTATTAACCTGCATGTGGATGTGAGTTGTCAGCTTCATACTCCACTCATTTTATCACCAAGAAAGGAGCCCCTATAGCCAATCTGGACACTGTGGAGTGGAGAAAAATCTCTGCACTTGCCTGAAAGCAAACCCTGATTCCTCACTGTTCAACCTGAAGCTTAGTCATTGTACTAATGGAGCTGTGAACGTGACTTAAGAAGTTACTAAACAGATTATGTTACCCCTGTACGCTTAACATAATTTGCCCAAGCATCATGCACATGGAGTCATAGTATAGCTGTATACATTTTCAATTTCAGAGAGCACTGTCACCTGTTTCAGTGCCTATTTGACAAGAGCTATCTGTGCTGGTGTGCCTCAGAAACATAAGTGGCTGATCACTTTCTCCATGTAGAAATTGCTATGGATAAATTTATTAAAAGTAAGTACATTTTGAGGAACTGTCCTTCAAATTTTCATTCCTATTTAAAGCTTTGAGGTTAATCTTGCCCATACATGGGTACTATTAATACAGTCATTAGAAAAAATTAACTGTTGGCTTAAACAATTATTTTGCTAACATACAATAACAACAATTTTCACAATTAAATAAAATGTGGAATAATATTATATTGTAGTATCCTGCTGCACTTCACTTAGTATCAAATGGTTTCACAGTCTCATGTGCAGCACATCATTATATTTTTTTTTTGTGTGCAGCCATGTTTCTCCAATTAATTATTGGTCTAATAGGTGTACTTTGTGTAGTGAGACTGTGAAACCATTTATTACAAAATGTGGAAATTAAAGCAAAGAAAATGTCATCCAAATCGAATTCATACTGACCATGAATCATGTACATGTTCAAGTCTTGCTACCTTAGCTCCCGTGAGTATGAGGGGTGAGCCATAAAAACCGGCCCTCCCACTGCGACCTTCAATGATCTATTGTGCTTCCCCTTTGGATTAACCCTTTATTAATCCTATTTCGAATGAAATGTAGGACTTTTTTATGGTGGCATCATAAAAGTCACTTGGTTCCATGAAGAACTGACCCAGGTGGCGATATCTTAGGTAAGCTATAGCCTCATAATCACATAAGATGTGTGCGGCTGAATTTTTTTCTTGTAGGCACCTTTCACAAGTTGGGTCATCTGTCAGGCTCAGTTTGGAAAGGCGCACTTTTAGGTGGCAGTGTCCAGTAAGTAATCCTACCACCCATCTTAGTTGATCTCTGTTTAATTTTAACAGGTCCCTCGTTCTTTTGGCAGGGGTCCTGATATAAATCCTTTTGCCTGTTTGAGTCCAGTTGTGGATTCTCAGTGTTTTTTGTGAATTCTGTTAGTCCAGTCCCTGATCACTTTCTTGGCAACTCCAATTGAGATGCCGCAAGCTGGTTCAGGTCATATGAACAGCTGTTCAGATCCTGTTCTTGCCAGTTGATCTGCGGTTTCATTCCCTGCAATACCCTCATGGCCTGGCACCCATATCAGCTGAACTCTGTTTTGTATGGTCAGTTGTCTGAGGGATTGGTGGCAATCCCAAACCAATTTTGAAGTGATTTGGTGTGTACCAAGTGCTTTGATTGCAGCTTGACTATCTCATAGAATATAGAAATTCCTTAATGGCATACACTTCTGCCTGGAATACTGTTGTACACTGACCAAGGCCGAAACTACATTTCTGCCCTGTTCCATCACAATACACTCTAGCTCCAGTGCCTTTATTTGTCTTGGAACCATCTGTATACCAGATTAGTCCCCCCTTTCTATTGGGTTGAAACCCCTCTTTCCATTCACTTCTATCAGGAAATCTGATCATGAAGGGTTTATCATAGACATGTTTTGGTATCATTTTATCAGATACCATCTGTAGGATGGGTTCCTTTTTCATATCCTGAATCATGTATGAATGTCCAAAACCTTCAGATTTAGGTCTCCATTGGTCATTGCAACATAATCTGTAATTTCCTAACTTGGCCTCTGCTTCCATCTGCAGATGCGGTGGGGGGACTCCTAGTAGGATACCTTAGCTCCCTTACTGTTAAGCTGTAGTCTATGAGCATATCATCCTTTGGGTTTTGCTTCTTCATGTCCCTCCTGACATTTTCATTTTCTGTTTTGTAATTCTAGATGATCAAGATCCAGTAAGACGTAAAAACTTTCATAATTAGCCCACATCTATTATTTTGTGTATCTTTATACACGTATTTGTACAGTCATTGATATGCATATTTGAGTGTCACTTTGTTGTTAAGAGAACTAGGACAGTTCACTTGCTACAGCAATTTGGGTGTAGGCTGCACAAGTGAGAAATTGGAGTTCAATCTCATGAAGGAGGAAGAGATTATTTTCTTCAGTGTTAGGATGGGATCTGGGGCCCACCAACCCTCCCATTAAATTGGTACTAGTTGCTATTTCCTCAGGGTCTGAAGCTAACCACTTCTCTCCATGTAGCATCTTTGGAATGTGCCAAGTTATTCCTCCACACCCTTATATATCTGCATGACGAGGGACTCCATTAAAGAGCACTGGGGCATTTTTATCTTTTATATTTAACTTCACTGTTAATATACATACATTAAGGAAGATTTCTCCTACTTCAATTGCAAGACTGATTGGATAAAGAAGGGGCTTCTAATTTGTTCCTAGTGTAATGGACCAAGTAGATGCATCCTCTAGTTTAGTTTAGTTTATTGTAAAATTCCATCGATCCAATCTAGGCTACAAATATGCCTGACAGATATAGAACCAGTCACAGACAAGTAACTAAAATACACATGCTATGAAAAAAGCATAGGTCAGATCAAACAATAAACCGAACTGTTTATCTTCCTACTTTAACATTAAACATAACAACATTTTAAATTTAATATTGATGATGTACCTGGAGATGTGCTTAAGTTACTGGGAGAAGGTGGTTTGAAAACACTGACAAAACTAATAAACACCATATATGAAACTGGGGAGTGGCCCAAGGACCTTACACAAGTGACAATGATTGCCTTAAAGAAAAAGACAAAAGCTACAAAATGCAGTGACCATGGCACATACAGCAAAGATAATAGCAAAGATACTTAAAGGAAGAATTGGAAGGAAAATAGAGGATATACTTGGAGAGGATCAGTTTGGATTTAGAAGAGGAAAAGGAACCAGGGATGCAATTGGGACGATGAGAATTATAGCAGAACGAACTTTGAAATAGATGAAGAACTGTGTGTTTGCTTCAT